CGGAGCCAGGTGTGTCCCCTGAGCGTCTCCGGGTGTGGTCCCAACCATAAACAAACAAAAAAATAAAAATAAAGCGGTCTCAGACCCTTGATGCGAATTCCCTCACCCGACTTTAGGAATTCTGAGTTGTATCTTCTTCCATGTCCCCTCCTCCATTTAGAAGAGGGTTGGGGTGTGGGTTGCCTTTAAGAGGAAACAGTTGTACATTAAAAAAATTTAAATACCCGGGTTCGATTCCCAGCATCCCATATGATCCCCTGAGCACCGCCAGGAGTAATTCCTGAGTGCATGAGGCAGGAGTAACCCCTGTGCATCGCCGGGTGTGACCCCCCCAAAACAGCAAAAATAAATAAAATAAAAAATAATTAAAAAAATAACAACAAAAAAGAGGAAACCTTTGTAAATGGCTTGCTCACAGAAATATCGAAGTGGCTTCAAAATTTTCTTGCTCATAGCGAAGAGGAAAAAAAAGAAAATGACCTTGCCTTGCTCGTTCCAGACCTGGATCAAACCCTGCACCCTTCGTGGTCCAGTGACCTAGCTGGGGCAACCCACCCGAACCCTCAAAGAGATTCAGCTATGTACCCCACAAAAGCCTGAAGCCGGGAATCAAACCCTAGTCACCCATTTGAAAGACAAGCACCCGAAAGGCTCTCCTACCGCTGCACCTGTGGAAGCGGCTTGCTTGATCCTTAACGACCCCACGCTGAACACTGAAGCAAACCCAAGGGTGGAAAATTCTTAGCGAAACGGGCCTGGGCAGGGAGGGAAACGTCCCACGGCGCCATCTCGTGGCGTATCGGCGGAACTACTGCGGCCCGACTCTCCCACGCTTAAGACTTCCAGCCCTTTTCTTGGCTTCAATGTTGAGTATGGGGTCATTAAGGATCAAGCAAGCCTCCATTACGTGGAGGGAGCAGAGCGCTTAGCGCTCTTGCCTCGCATCCATAGGACCCGGGTCCATTCGTAGACTCCCCATAGGGTTCTCCAGTCATGCTGGTGAGATTCCTAAGTGCAAGGCTAGGAGAACCCCTGGGTTTGTGGCCCCCAAACCATGAACAACCAAATAAAACCCAAATAGCCTCAGTCCCTTGATGGCGGATTCCTCATCCCAACTTGGGGGATTCTGAACTGCATCTGGCTGTATCTATGCCCTCTCATACTTGTAGAAAAGATTTTGGGCACCCCCAGAACGTGGAGTGATGTCATATGGGGTTGACTGTCACAGGAAACTTCTCCAAAGGGCTGTGTCACAGACAGAGCAAAGTGGGTCGGAACTTTTCTTGCTCAGGGCAAAGAGAACAGCCACAAACACAGCAACACTCAAAATAGTTTTATTTTGTTCAGGGCCAACTAGGTTCAATTTCAAGTACTCATAAAGGTCCCCAAAACCGCACGGGCCCTCACAAAAGCCCCAAATTAAAAAAAAATCCTCGGTAGAGTGGTGCATTTAGAATTTCCAGGGCTGGGGGCTGGGGTGATAGTCCAGTGGGTAGGACATTAACCTTGCACGCAGCCAACACGGATTCGACTCTCAGCATCCCATAGGGTCCCCTGAGCACTGCCAGGAGTAATTCCTGAGTGCATGAGCCAGGAATAACCCCTGTGCAATGCTGAGTGTGACCCAAAAAAGAAAAATTGAAAATTTCCAGGAACGGAGAATGCCCGGTCTTAGGCTCATTATTACTGTTTCAATCAAAATTCTTTTCAGCCCACTTCCGATTTCTCTGATGGTAGGTACTTTCGCCCCAGACTTTTGGAGATGCCAGAGTTGAGTCTGGCCTCTGCCTCCTTCCTCCACACAAAACAGAGGACTTGAGACTTCTCATATGTATCGGAGCCCCAAAACTCTCTCTGGAAGGAAGAACGTACTCTCAGAAATGTAGAGTGTGGGGTTGTGAAAATGATGGGCTGGATGGAGACCGGGAAGATTGGACCTACTGGGAGAGCTCGCATTGCAGGAAGGCACAATTATCTTTTGTGCTCACCCTGGGTTTCGTCTGAAGCACCATATAATTCTCCCAAAAACCCTGGCAAACTGTTGCAGTCACCCACAGCCCGCAGCCCAACTAAAGAAGCCAGAGCCACTAGCTTGCCCAGTCAGCGCGGAGGACTAAGGAGAGGGACAAGGATGCTGTTCCACTGTGCAGAAATTCTTTTCTGATTTCTTATGCAAAAATTCTGAGGGTCCTGGGTGCTAGAGCGGGTTCTGGACGGAGGTCAGGCCCAGGGGTGACATTTCTTAGAGAAACGTCCCAGGGGAGGGACGGAGACGCCCCACAGCGCCCTCTCGCGGTGCATTGGCGGGAGAGCCGTGGCCAGACTTTCCTGCCTTTGGGTTCCCTTCCATGTTAACCTGAGGGTCACTAGGATCCAGCAGGCCGCCTCATGCCCTGCAGTGTTAACCGAGCATCAAGGGCGCTTGCCTCCCATGGGGCGACCTGGGTGTCGGGACTGAACCCAGCAGCGTGGCACATGCTTTGCCCGCAGTAGAATCTCCCTCCAAGCCCCTTTCGCAAACGGTTCCTTTCCTGGTAATCCGCACACCTTCGTGGTCTTCGGTGGAGGAAGGTGGTGGACGCAAGACTCAGCTCGGCATCCCCAAGTTTGGCGGAAGGAATGCTCCGTGAAAGGCTTTTGTTTGGTTGTGTTTCGGGGACCACACTCAGAAATATTCGGGGGTCATCCCTGCCCCTGCACTCAGGAATCACTCCTGACGGTGCTCAGGGGAACTAATGGGGTGCAGGCATAGAACCCGGGTTGTCTCCTACAAGAAAAGTGCCCTCTCTGCTCAGTATTCGATCCATGGCCCGAGGCTGTGTGCTTGGTCCTTCATGAACCTTCAAGAAGCCAAGAGAAAGGCTGGAAATCTTAAGCTTGGCCAAGATGGGCCGCGGCAGTTCCACAAAATCGCCACGAGACGGCGCTGTGGAGCATCTCCATTGCTCCCCAGGAACGTTTCCCTGCAAATTTCCTCCCTTGGTTCGCTTCAGCGTTAGGTATGGGGTACTTAAGGATGAAGCACGGAGCTTCGAAGGTGCAGCGGTAGAGAGCCTTGTGGGTGTTAGTCTTTCACACGGGTGACCAGAGTTCCATTCTACCTTTGCGGGGTCATAGCTGAATCACCTCGGGGGTCGAGTGGGTTGCCCTAGCTTTGTCTCTGGACCAGGAGGGGTGCAGAGGATTGAACCTACTGGAACGAGCAAGGCAAAGTCATTTTACTTTTTGTTCTCTTCGCTCTGAGCAAGAAAAGTTCTGAACCCGCTCTGTTATGTCTGTGACCAAGCCATTTAGAAATGTTTCCTGTTACGGGCAACCCACACCCCATCACCCCACGTTCTGAGGGTGCCCAGGGACCGCAGCCTTCCTGGGGCGCTGCACGTCGGCCTCTGGGTGCCCTGGGCGGGGGAGGAGCCAGTGGTCTGGCCATGGTTGACAGTGACGAAGGCCCCCAGAGTCCTGGCAAGAGGCCCCCAACCTTCCCTCCCTCCCTCCCTGCCAGTGAGGAAAGGGGACACAGCACCCCATTTCTGAGTCCCCAGATCCCTTCAGATTCCCAGCAGCCAGAGAGGGTGCTCAGGGCCCCCCCACACTGTGGTGCCATCCTGGGCCCTGTGAAAACTAGACCAGAGGAGACCCCCAGACAGGAAGTGCCAGGTGCACCCCATTCTCCCCACACACGCCCGCCTCTGTCATCTCATGCTCTTTCCACTCTGCAGAGGTCCGGCTCTCTTCTGAATACACTCTCTCCTCACACCCTTTCAAGATCCGCTCAGTAAAAACTGTTTTGCTTCAGTAACAAGAAGCAAAACAGCGGGGCTGGAGCCATCACAGCGGGGAGGGCGTCTGCCTTGTGCACAGCCTGCCCGGGTTTGAACTCCTGCATCCCATGAGCACCGCCAGGAGTGATTTCTTGAGTACAGAGGCAGGAATAAACCCCGAGCATTGTTGGGTGCGGCCCCAAAAGCCAAACAAAAGGCAAAAGAGTGGGGAAGGGCAGAATGGGGGTGCATTCACAGGGCCCACAGCACAACGGACCAGCCAGGTGGGTTTGTTCAGGCGGGAATGGCCTGGGGGGGTCCCCACAGTCCTCACCCACAGCAGGCCTGTCCCGCCCTAGGGCCATGGTCTCCCCCAGACCTCAGGTCTGCGGCTCCCTGGCATTCAGAAAAATATGCGGGTATGTCCAGACTGGGTCCCTATTTCCCTTCCCTGGGGGGCCCCACGTGGCACCTGAAGCTTCACTCGGGCCCTTTATCAAACCCACCCATGGAACGGGGCCCTTGGACAGGCTCACTTGGGCGTCGGAGCCTTGGGGGCACCCGCTACCCCGCACCTGGGCCCACCCCACGACCCAGGGCCTCTGCAAACGGGGGGCCCCTCTCCCCGCACGCGTGAGCCCTGCTGCCACTCCCCCCGCCAAGGAGGACCAGACACAGGCAGACAGCTGCCCCGGGCGGGCCCCACAACGGATTTTAATGGCGAGACGCGAGGCGGCCGGCACGGGCAGGGGGGGCGGGCAGGGGGCATCCCCTTCCCCCTGCGGGAGGCGGGGTCACAGCCGCCTCCCCCAAACAAGAGACTCAAACAAAGGACAGGACGGCGGCGCTGAGGGCCCAGGGCCTGGGCACACGGGCCACTGCGGCCGCCCGGAGGACAGGGACTCGGGCTCACAGATACGTATATACACATGCACCCACCCGGAAACGGGGGGGGGGGGGGGGGGGCGTGCTGCCGGTGACAAGGTGGAGAGTCGGGGACCGGCCAGGGCATGTCCAGGAGCACCGCGGGGGCCCCCGCTCCCCTCCCCCCAGGTCCCTGGTGGTCCCCGCACGGGCGGTCGGGGCCGGGCAGGCGGATCTACCCAGGAGTCAGACTCAGCTGCTCGGCAGCTAGTTCCGGGCTGGGCACGGCCAGCAGGTGCCCTGGCCACCCCGGCTCCTGCTGTCCCGGTGGCTGTCCCCGAGGCGTGCTGTCCGCTGGCTCGCTCGCTCGGTCGCAGGCAGGCTGGCAGTTCTGGGGTGTCCGCCCAGCCCGCCCCAAACAGCGGCCCAGAGGGTTGAGAATGAGACTTTAATGAGCATCAGGGTCCTGGGCCGGCGGGCGCCCCCTCTACCGGATCCGCGTGAAGAGGTTGAGGACGGACACGGACTCCTGTGGGACAGGGCGGCACTGAGTGGAGGCGGAGGCAGGCAGGCGGGGCGTGGGGGACGCGGGGCTCTGGTGCTGATACCGACCCACTTTACCTTTGTTGAACGGGTTTTGCTGAAGACATTCCAGAACCTCAGCGTCTCATCCCCGGCACCCGTGACAATGGCCTCCCCGTCGGGAGACATGGCCTGCGCGGCGGCAGGGGGGAGGGGAGGGACAATCAGGAGCCGGTCCCCGGCGGGGGCCAAGGTTCCCGAGCAACGATGGACCAGTCAAGCCCAGAGAGATGACCTGGGGGTTGGGGGTCCAGACGCGGATCACCTGTGCTGCTGTGCACGTGCCCACACGTGATGCACACAATGTCCCTACGGGTGTGTGCTGAACGTGTACGAAGCGCGCCCAGTGCACACTCGTGACGTGTGGGGGCGCAGATGTGTGCCGTGACATGGGCGGGCACACGTGCGGGACGCATCTGCTGTAATACGTGCGCGGCTGCGATTGATGATGCGTGGGTGTTGCACACGTGCGGTCGTGCAATGTGTGACGAGATGGGGGCAAAAGTGCACACGAGTGATGTGAGACAGAGGTGACGTGGGTGTGTATGTGTGCCTGCGCTTGTCTAAGAGTCCATGCAGGAGACGACCACCGCCCGCATCTCCTCCGGGCCTGGCACGGGCGCCCCGAGCCCGGGGCCACTCACCAGGTAGAGGACGCGGTAGGAGTGGCCGGTGAGCTTGGCCACCTGCGTGAGGGAGGGGTACTTCCACACCAGGATCTGGTTCTGCGAGTAGCCGTGCGTGCTCACCTGCGGGAAAGACGTGGTCGCCCCGGCTCCCTGCTCCCACCCACAGTGCCGCCTGTCCCTTGAAGCCCCCCGCCGCCCTCCCCCCCACCCCTGCAGCGGCAGGCGCTCACCAGCTCGTTGGCATGCTTGGACCAGGCCAGGTTGCAGACCTGGGAACCAGTGTCGATGCACTGCAACGGCTGCCCCGTCAGAGTGTTCCAGAAGCGGATGCAGCGGTCTGCGGTGCCCCCGCCCGAGGCCAGCAGCCCGTGCTGGTGCGGGGACCAGGCGATGGCCTTCACGGCGGCCAGGTGCTCAGTGTACTGCTGCACGGGGCTCAGGCTCGAGTGGTTCCAGACCAGCAGCTGGGGGTGGGGCGGTGGGGCATGACTGTGAGCCCCTGCTGGGGGGGGCGGAGCACCGCATCCCTCTCGTCCCCCTAAAACCCCGACCTGTAGGGGCGCCTACCTTGTTGTCATTGCCCCCCGAGGCCAGGAGCTGGTGGTCTGTGGACCACTTGAGGCCGCACACCTCCTGCCGGTGGCCTTGCAGCCGCCGCTCGGCCTGCAGCGGCGGGGTGCGCACGTCCCGCTGCAGGATCAGGCGGTCCCGGCTCCCAGAAGACAGCTGCTCCGCGTTCCAGGCCAGCGCACCTGCCAGGGAAAGCCAGCGACGCGGGGCGGGCTGGGGGCGGGGCCACGAGAAAGGGCGGGGCCTGGAGGATGAGGGAGCCTGGGGACAGGACCAAGAAAAGGGGCGGGCCTGGAGCAAGAGGGAGCTCGGGGGCGGCACCGAGAGACTGGGGCGGGGCCTGGAGCAGGAGAGAGGCTGGGATGGGGTCTGAAACAGGAGGCTGGGGGCGGGACCAAGAGAAGGGCGGGGCCCAGAGCATGAGGGAGGGAGGCCAGGGGTGGGACTGAGACTGGGGCGGGGCCTGGAGCCAGAGGGAGCCTGGGGGCGGGGCCTGGAGCTTGAAGGAGTCTAGGGGCGGGGCCATAAGCCTGGGCTGGAGCAGGATGCGGGCTGGGGGCGGGATCAGCCCCGGGCAGGAGCGAGGGAGGTCGAGGCGGCAGCCTGGTTGGGGGCACCCCCTGGCGCCCGGCTCACCTACACGCGCCGTGTGCCCTTCCAGCACTGACAGCTTCTTCCCTGCGGCTGCATCCCAGATCTGCACGAAGCCTTTGTGCGTGCCCACGGCCACCAGGTTTCCCTAAGGCCAACCAAGGGGGTTCAGGGCACAGAAGGGGCCCCACCGGCCTGCCCCACACTGTTCCCCGACTGGGACCGAGGGGACGCCGGTCCACGGAACTGTCACACCATCTGCCCTGCACGGAAGGTGGTTTGGGGTTTGCTGCTTTGTTTGGGGGCGACACTGCAGAGCTCGGGGCTGCCTCCTGGCACTCAACTCCTGGTGGGGCTCAGAGGAACTGAGGCGGTGCCAGGGTCAAACCCTGGTCAAGCACAGAACAAACGCCCCCCCCCCCCCCCCCCCCCCCCCCCGCACGATTGCTGCAGCCCCAGCCCTGCACGTCTGTCCCGGAGTACTGACCCGCTCAGACCAGCCCACGGAAGTCACGGAGTCCCCTTCCACGGAGAGGTCACAGAGCCGTGTCACCTGGGGGAGGGAGCAGCCGGTGTGAGCCAGATCGAGTCACCTGCACCCCTCCTTCCAGCATCCCCCGACCCCACCCCCCACATCTGCTTCGCTGCCTTCTCTCCCCTGGACCTGGGCGACGGGGCAGGGATGGGACAGGCTGTGGCACTCCTGGGGATCACGGGAACCTCCTGGGAGGAGGCTGCTGTGGGGTCATTCCTGGAGAGGTCCCCATGGACCCATCCACGCCCACAGGGCCTCCTTCTCTTCTGTGGCCGTGGCAGCTCACCCCGGGGTGCCCTCCCTCGGCTCAGGCCCCTCAGTCGGGCGCTGGCATCCCCGGGACCCTGAAAGTCACAGCATGTGCGTCCCTACACCCTCAGTGGGCACCATGCCCACGGCACACGCGTCTGCACACACAAATGGGCAGACACGGGAACACAGAACACAGGCACACACACAAGTACACACAGGCAATCACTTGGCCACACATGCACACGGGCATAGTTGCACACATACACGAAGAGTGTGCACACACAGGGACACAAGTGCAAGCCCACACAGGGGTGTACGCACAGAGCACACAGGATCACACACGGGAGTCCACACGGGCACAGACATAGCACACACACACACCTGGCTGGTGCAGGCGCTCCACAGGTACACGCAGGTGCCCAGCCCGACGCTGAGCACATTCAGGGAGGACCAGTCCACCAGGTTGAGGTAGAAATCGTCCTGCAGCTCGGGCGCGTCCAGCACCTTGAAGGGGATCTTAGAGATCTTTCGGGTGGGTTTCCGTGGCGATCGCAGCAGCTTCTGACTGCAGGGACAGGGGGGCCAGCGTCAGCCCCTCACTGCTTACCCATCTGCTGCCCCTGGCTTCCAGGCCCTTTACCCTCAGGCACAGGCTTGGGCTCCAAACCCCAGCTGGCATCTCCTCCAGGAAGCCCTCCTGGGTGCCCTCCGGGGGCTGACTTCCACATGCCAAGTGGGACAGCAAAGGGTTCTCAGGGCCTCACCTTTTGTTGCTGACAGGGGACAAGGAGTAGGGAGACACATCATTGCCGTCATCGGGGGAGGAGCGCTTGGCGCTGAGGGAGTACTGTGGAGCGGGGGGGACCGAGTCAGCAGGGGCCGAGGCTCTGTCTCCAGAACCCGCACCCCCATCCCCCAGTGTCCCTAGGAAGGCAGAGAGTGGGTGGGTGGGTGCGGGGACACGGCCGCTCCCGGGCTCACCGTGAAGAGCCCCTTTTTCTCGGGCGTGGAGGGTTGCAGCCTGCGGTCCTCAGTCTGTGGGTCCTGCACCTTCTCGATGCCCGCACCCAGAAGCTCGTTCTTCAGCAGTGCCGAGTAGGCCAGGCCGTCTGCGGGCACCGACACGTGGGTGAGGCCGGGCAGGCCTGCGGGGTGGGACTGGGGCCCCGGGGCCTCCCGACTCCTGACCTTTGCCATTGTCAGACGTGGCGTCCTTGGCCTTGCGGTTCTGGCTCGGAGACTTCTCGTTCTCCTGCGAAGGGGAGGGAGGAGGGGGAGGGTTGGAGCGGCCCGGCCACCCTGCGCCCCGACTCCCTGCACCCCAATTTCCTGTGCCCTGACGCCCCGTACCCCGACTCCCTGCACCCCAACCTCCCTGCGCCTCGATTCCCTGCATCCCGACCTCCCGGCACCCGATCCCCGTCACCCCCATGGATCCCAATCCCCTGAACCCTTACCCACCCACACCTCCGCCTGGCACCCCCAGCCCCCTGGGTCCCCGGCCCCCAGGCCCCTCACATTGATCCTGTGGAAGTTCACGCTCCAGTTGGCACCAGCCCGGGAGGGGATGAAGCGGTCGCCGTGCTTGCTCGGGGACGACACGGGCGAGTTGGCAGGGGTCAGGGTGCGCCTCATCTCCGCCACCTGCAGGTGGCAGCACAGCACAGGGCTGGGCGGGGCAGCCCCTGGCAGCTCCCGGCCCCAGCACTGGCACTCACACCCGGAGCCCCACATGGTCCTCAGGAGGACTCACACTCACTCACAGATATTCACACTCATGGTTACTCACACACGGGAACTCACTCACATGGGCACCCACGTAGGCACTGAGGCATTCACACTCACGGGCACTTATACTCATGGGTACTCACATGAGTACTCACACTCACAGATCTCATACAGGTACTCCCACTCATGGTTACTTACACACACACTCACGGAAACTCACTAACATGGGCACCCACATGGGCACTGAGGCATTCACACACACACACATACACTCATGGGCACTCACAGGCACTCACTCACACACAGGTATTCACACTCAGACTCATGGCACTCACACACTCACAGGTACTGACATGGGCACTCACAATGACGGGCACACACATTCATGTGGGCACTCACAGTCAAAGGCATACACACCCGTGGGCACACCTGTGTGGCACACATACTGACAGGCACTCCAACTGATGGGTACACACACTCGTGCTGGCATGCACACCCGGAGGCACGCACACTCACACAGGCACACACACACCTGTGGGCACTCACACCACAGGCACGCACACTCACGCGGGCACTCACACCCGGCACGGTGTTCTCGTTCTGGATGACAATCTGCCGGAGCAGGCGCCGCTCGTAGTCCTGGTCCATGGTGTTGGGCAGGCCCGCCCGCCCACTGGGCGCCCCAAGTCAGCCTGGGTGAGAGCGAGAGAGACCAGGTCGGCCCCCAGAGCCCTGGGCACTGGCCCTCCTGCTCGAGGGGCTACTGAGACACCCACCATGGGACACCCCAACACGTCCCCTGGAGCCTGATGCCTGGCCCAGCCCCCCCCACAAGAGTGTGGGGGACCCTCCCAAGAGGACCCGTGGGGTGCCAGAGGCCTCCAGTCAGGCCCTTTTGGGGGGTGCTTTCAGCTGCAGGGGGCTCCGGGGGCAGAGCCCTGCACACAGAGGGGGTGGAGGAAGCCCACCTTTGGGGGAGGCTGCCTGGAGCCCATCACTGGCAGATGGACACAGTCTCATACCGAGGGGATCCCGGATGGGTCTCAGGGACCACAGGAGGCTTCCCGCTGGAAGCAGGGAGAGGGGTATGGAGTGCCACCCAAGGGCGCAGCTGGGGAGGGTCCATCAACACGACGGCTTGGGGCACAGTGGAGGGGCCCTCACCGGTGTCCTCAGGGGCCTATGCAGCTCCGAGAGCCTGGCTGCCCCGGAGAGGGGACAGGCCAGCTCTGGGACAGGGACAGGCAGAGGGGATGGGCTCCCAGCTCCCTGCGGGGTACCCCCATTCTTTACAAAAGTCTCACTGATTTAGGGGTCCTGGGGACCAACACTCAGCTGGCGGTCAGCTGCCCCAGGCTGTTGGGGACCCCCGGGGCCACACTGGCAGGGCTGGGGGGACCCTCCACGGCCACATGCAGCAGATGAGGCACGTTGACGCGCCTGCACCCCAAGTCGTGTGGCCTCCCGAGTCCCGAAAGTGCAGGGCCCTGAACTGCAGCAGCAGGCAGAGCAAGGGGGTCCCGGGAGCAGCGATGTCCCTGGACCCCAGCCCCATCTGGCAGGGTGTGGCCCCGCCCACTGCTCTCAGCTCCCTGCACCCCACCCCCCACCCTGGAGGAGAAGCCCCTGAGGGCAGCAGAACAAGCGCCCAGGGGTCCAGTGGCTGTAAATCAGCCTACGGAACCCACCTCCCCCCACCTCCCGAATCGGGCCTGGTCAGTGTTGGGTGCACTGGGGAGGAGGCTTGGCCCCCAGAAGCCCGGAGGACACCCAGGACTCTGCAGTCCCAGGCCCTCCCATCTGACCGGACCCAGGTCCAATCAGTGTGGGGAGCATGTGGGGTCCCTCCCGGGGCCAGCGACTCCTCAGAAGCGGCCTGCGCAAGGGAGAACGTGCCCCCCACTGCCCTCCGGGCCCCCAGCCCCGGGACGGCTGCTGAGGGGTGGGTGGGCATCAGACGCGCTGGGACCCCGCACCAGGAGACGAGAAGGCACACGGGGACACGGCAGAGGCCGGCACAGAGACACTCGCTCTGATTGTCACGTCAGCACCTGGGCCTGAGGGTGGCCACAGGGGCAGGGAGGGGCGGGAGCACATCCTGGGCCCCCCAAAATCACCCCAGGGGCCCCAAAGACCGGCCCGGTGCGCAGTGGCAAGACCCCACAACACCCCACTCCTGCCCCACACCCCCGTCCAAGGGACCCTCCCCAGGGGTCACTGGGCAACAGCGGGACATGGGGGGTCATCAGTGCAGGGGTCCTGGCACCACCCCAAGCAGGCTGACACAGGCTGCGGTCACTGGGGGTGGGGGGGCATTCCAGGGGGGCGGGGCGGAGGAGACAGGGATGTGGGGGGCAGCCTCTACAGTTCCTCCCCCCCCCAGGTCACTCCAGACCCCAGACCCCCCCAAGAGCGCCTCTCCCTGGAGCTGTTTAACTGCATGGCCGAGGCCACATCCCGGGGGCAGGACAGCACCCGTGAGGGGGGGGACCCCAGCCTAGAGAGGCCACGCGGGATGGGGAAGCCGTGAGCCTACTTCACCCCGGGGCTCGGAGCTGGTGACCCAGGAGGGGCCAGCAAGGGGACGCAGCCCTTGGCGCGGGGACCCCCACAGGTAGAGGAGCCCAGTGGGCCCAGGAGGGGCAGCCCTGTTTGGGGGAGGGGGTCTGAGGGAGGGGCCCACGGGGGCTCCGGGAAGGGATGCCCAAGACACGGCCGCAGCTCCCACTCACGGGGGATCGGCCCCTTGCCCACCGCCTGGGCACTGGGCAGGGCTGCCGGAGCCTGAGTGCTGCGCGCACAGGGGGCATCACTCTCGGGGCGCTGTGGGTCTCCCCTCCCGCGGGGACACACTCCCCAGCCCCCAGGACGGTCCGAGTGGCCCAGGCAGACAGACGGACACACAGACAGAGAGACAAACAAGAGTGACGGCCAGACTGATGGGCAGACTAGGGCCTCCCCCCTCCCCACAGCCCCACCCACGTGGGACATCCCAGAAGGGCAGGGGTGAGTGGTGAGGGCAGAGCCCCCTCGGGGTTCCCAGAGGCTGGGGCGTGAGGGGCACGAGCGGGGGTGTAGTCCGAGGAAGTGAACAGTGCCGGTGGGGGGGGGGACCAAGGGCACAGGCCCCACGAGCCCCCTGGGCCTGGCACGCGCGCCAGCGGTGGGCACCAGCAATGAGGGGGGCTCAGGGGAGCCCCAGGAGGCGGGGGGGGGGGGTCCAGATCACAGGGAGGCATCACCGTGATGGGCAGCTCTGTTCAGAACACCAATGGACAGGGCCAGAGGACAGGATCTGCCTCATGCAGGACTGACGCAGGGTCCATCCCGGGCACCCCAAGGGTCCCCCTCCGAGCCCACCAGGAGTGACACCTGAGTGTAGAACCAGGACGAAGCCCTGGGCACCTGCAGGTGTGGCCCCCCAAAACAAGCACCTCTCTTTGAAAAAAGGGGCTCGGACCCCTACCCCACACAGGAAGTCCTGGAACCGACTCCCCCGCCCCCACCAAGGTCCCCAGGGTGGGAGCCACGGACGAAAACATCCAGAAGGGGCACCTCCCTCTCTGCTGACCGGAAGTGGGAGTCTGGGGTCGGAGCTGAGGAGGAGACTTGATCACCCAGGTGGAACCGCTCCATGGAAGGTTCTGGAACTACAGCAATTACCAGCTGCATAAGCCGGCGGATGGCGGGGGTCTCGTGCCCGGGCCTGGGGTCACACCCGGGTGGGCAGCAGGCACCACCGCCCCCAGCCCCAGCCCAGCACCCCGGGCCAAGGACGGGAAGTTGGGGACAGCTCCACACACGGGCTGGGGCGGGGTGGGTGTCCCCAAACTGGGCCAGCCTCAGGGAGCAGGAGTGGAGGGGGACGTGGGGGGGGGGGCGCTGCCAAGACAGGGGTGAAGGGGGCTGGGGGCCCGGGGGCAGCGTGGCCGAGGCCCTCACTGGACCCCCACCACACTGGGCTGAAGGTCGGGTCACACCCATCCACTGTTGGCTTTCGGTGACAGGGAGGTGAATCCCCCACGGAGTCTGGGCTGTGAGCAGGGAAGGGCCCACCCGGGACGCCCCCCCATCCACGGGCCAAGACCCTTCCCTTGGGGCTCTGGGCACCCCCCCAGGGGCTCGGAGTGCCCACCAACGCCCAGCCTGCCGGGGTCCCTGGCCTGAGCATCCTCCGCGCAACCCCGCTGCCCGCTTGCGGGGGGGCGGGGGGGAGGGTCAGCGACGACCCCCCAGGAGGGGTCCCGCCCGCCCAGCGCAGAATCAGGTGAGCAGCAGCAACAGCGCCCGGGCAGGCCCCGGGGACAATAACAAACTCCTCCCCGGGGTCCCCCCAGCAGAGACCCTGCAAAAAACGCCTCCCGCCCGCCTGGAGGGGGACCCCCAGGCGGGCGGGGAGGGCGGGGCCAGGCAGGTGCGTCCGCGAGCATGAGGTAATCACGGCGGCCTTGGAGGTGGGGGGCGGGAGGAGAAAGGGCAAAACAGGCGGGTGGGGGTGGGGATGCGCCCCGACAGCGCTGGGCCAGTGAGGGGGTGCGGGGGTCCCGGATCTCGGTGCCCGCTGTTGGGGTGCGCTCTAGGGAGCGGCGCTAGACCCCGGTGGTGGTGGGGGGGCTGGGGGCACACTGCTCCAGTGGCTTCGGGCTCCCCAAGCCCCAGGTCATGCATGTGGGGTGGGGGAGGGGGGACAGTCCCCGCCGCTCCTCGGGGGGATGCAGGGCGCAGGGCACGCCCGGAATGACAGGCACAGATTAGGGCGTGGGCCCGAGAGCTCCCTCGGGAGGGCGTTGACCCCCTTGTAACCCGGGAGGGGATCCCCGGTGCGGCGGCGAGGTCGCGGGGTGCAGGGGGGCGCGGGCGGCGCCCGCGGAGGTCACACTGGGCCCAGCGGGGCCGGGGGCAGCGTTCCCGGGCCGGGCCGGGGTGCGCTGGGGTGGGGTCCCCCGGGGGGCGGGGGGGATCCCGGACTCGGCGGCGGCGCACGGGCAGCCCCGGCCGCGGGCTCCGTTCCGGGGGGCCCCTCCGGGTCGGGGGTCGCGTCGCGGACGCAGGCGTGGGGGGGCGGGTCCCCGGGAGGCCGCGGCGGCCCCGCCGCCTCACCTGGCTCGCTCCCGGCGCGCCGCTGGCTCCGCCGGCCCGGGCCGGGTGTGGGCGCCGCCCCCGCTGCCGCCTCCGCCCGGACGCCCGCCCGACGCTCCGTCCGCTCCGGCCGCCGCTGCCGCTGCCGCTCCGGGGGGCTCCGCGAACCGAAATATGGCGGCGCTCCGGCTCCGCCGGCCACGCCCCCCGCCGCCGGCCACGCCCCCGCGCCGGCGCGCTGCGTGCGCGCACCGCCCCCGGCGCCCCCGGGGACACGCCCCCGCGCGCCGCTGCGCCTGCGCGCCGCGAGCATCTCGGGAGGGGCTGACGTCACGGACGATTCGAAAGAATACAGGAAGCGCGGCCGTCGGCGCCGCCGCCGCCGCCGCCGCCGCGCGTTTCCCCGGGCGACGGCGGCCGGGAGGAGACCCGCGACGAGCCTCCCGCGACGAGCCTCCCGCGGCGCCGGCCTCGACCGCCATAGCCGCCCAGGACGGGCGCGGTGCGGCCCCGCCGCAGGGCACGTGCAGGCGTGCAAACCCCACTGACCTTCCCCGCTGAGCTTGAGATCGCCCTCATTCAATTTTTTTTTGGGGGGGCCCACATCCGGTGA